GGCAGAAACTTGAATCCCAGGATACTGCCATGTTACATTGTTGAACGGCCGAAGCATGTCATTGTCTGGCCTTTCTGCCATTCACAGAGGCCATTCTTTAATTTTGATATAAATTTGTAAAAATGTCCACTTTTACCTTTGTAAGGATTACGTTTTCATAGTGACTTTACATTATTTAAAGAACCGAGATAATTGTGAGGGAAAGAGTCAGATAAATGACCTATTCTAAAATTCTGTTGTGCTTTTCATTCGAACCTTGATGTATGCCGAAATTATTACATTTTTTTATTTTAATGTGTTGTTTTTGATGCCAGTGTACATTAGTGTGGTTTTCCAATTAAGGTTTTTCACTCCAAAGTGTCGCAGGTAGAATCTGTCGTATGAATCATTATTTCTAAAACGGAAACTCATGCAAGTGTGTGTGCATGCTAGAGAGCTCATTTGTCTTTGGCAAAGACATTGCTGCTCCTGTGTCCTTAATTATTAAACAGATGGTGCCCACTGCCACTGACTAGCTGCCTGACTGGTTTTCCCTGTGGCAGCACAGCTCTGGACATCTGACAGAGAAGCCGTAGTGCCACAGCTCCGCAGATCCAGTGATGTCATAGCACTAATATGAATACCCGCCTCTAACTAGAGCAGGCTGCTTCCCAGGGAGCCAACTCTGAATCTACAATGGAAGCCATCTTCCCGTCGCTACTCTTCCTCTCTCTGCAGAGTTGAGTTTATCTCAAGTGTCTCTTTGAAGGAGCTCTGGTGGTTCAGGGAAGTGGTTGGCTGCTAACTGAAAGGTTGTCTCTTTGAATCCACCAGTCCCTGTGAAGGAGAAATGTGAAAGTCTGCTTAAAGATTTACAGGCTTGGAAACCCACTGGACAGTTCTACTCTGTCCTATGGGCCACTGTGAGTCAAAATCTCTTGACGGTCATGGGCTCTCTCCTTTTGGCTCTTTCGATGATCCGATCTCTACACACAAAATACATTGACACACTGAACCCAGGACTCCAGGCTATCAACAAACTTCACTCTGTAATGCCATTGAAAATTAAGACAACATGGGAAAATTAGTAATATTTGTATTAGTAAAAAAAGACATCTAAGGCTGCTGTGCATTTTTAAGATGAGCAAACATGTATGATCATATTCTTCCTGTGTTCTAAGTCTCCTGCACTCTGGTTAAGACCAAAAAGAAGCCCTGGTAGCAGGGACGCTTCAGAAAGCTAATGGCAAGGTTGGTGATTCGAACTTATCAGTTGCTCAACAGGAGAATGATGAGGTTGTCTTCTGCAGCTTCAGACCCCACACAGGATTACTATGAGGAGCCCTGCTGGGGCAGTGGTGCCAAGTCGGGCTGCGATTCACCTGGCTGGCGGTTTGAAACCACCAGCAGTGAATCTGAAGATAGGGTGGGTTTGCCACTTTAGTAAACGGTGACCAGGTCCGAAACCCACAGCAGGTCACTCTCAGTCACCATTGACAAGATGGCAGTGGGATAAGTTGCAATCAACTCCATGGTAGTGAATGCGGTTTGGTTTGGGGTTTATGTATTAAAACAGAAATTCACTCTCAGGGATCTTTAACAGATATTTTTTAAGTGGTTTAGAAACTATTGAATTATTCTTCAAATTGAATTATTTGAATTATTCTTCAAATCTGCCCCAAATCTTGTTGTTAGGTGTTGTGGAATCTGTTCCAGGGAGTCTGTTCCAGGCTACGTATAACAGAATGAAATGTTGCCCAGTCCCGCACCATCCTCACAATTGTTCTTGGGTTTGAGCCCATCTTTGCAGCCACTATGTCAATCCATCTCTTGAAGGGACTTCCCATTTTACATGATGTACTTTTCCAAGGGAGTGTCTCCTGGTACCATGTTCGGGGTACAAGAGACAAGGAAATCTTCCCGTCCTTGCTCCCAAAGAGCCTTCTGGCTACACTTCTTCCAAGATAGATCTGTTTATTCTTTTGGCATTCTATGGTACTTTCGATATTCTTCATCAGCACCATAATTCAAATGCATGGATTCTTTGTGGGTCTTCCATATTCAGTGTCTAACTTTCACGTGCATCTGAGATGATTGAAAATATCATGGCTTAGATCAGGTGTGCCAGAGTCCACAAAGTGACATCCTCGCTCTTCAACCCTTTAAGGAGATCCTGTGCAGATTTACCTAATACAATGCACCCTTTGATTTAGTTCGTTTCATTTTTTCCCTTCGTTTCTCCAACACTCTGGTGGCAAAGTACACGAACAGTGTGTCCTTTATTCACTTATAACTAGAACCCCCGCCTCCCCCCCCCCCCATATCCCTTCCCTCTTTCTCTCCACCT